ATAACTGCCATTTTTAGAGAAACTTGAGCCAAACGCGTAGGAATGCTATAAACTTGCGACTTCAAGCAGTCAGTGTCATCGTTCTCCCCGACTAGCAATTTGCCACGTCAAATCAGACACATTCCAAAATTGTCGCCCACCATCGTAAACATGGCGGGCAAGGATATCCCAAACTTCTCAATAACGCTCAAATCGGGGTTCATGCTTAACCAGTCCGTGAGGGAGACGAACGAATCTTCAAGGAACTTCTTCGTCTCCATGGAAGCGTGGACAAAGGAATTATCTTATTTGAACACAACAACTTTTCTATGAGACGCTCTTGTACTTTGTCCAAGAACGGGAACAACTCCGTCTCCAAGTCTTTCAATCCACGAGCTTTGTTGTCCTTCGAGGAAAGCGATATCTGACTTCCCGAACAAGTTAACAGTAACCGAGACGATAATGCTTCCTCCACTGCTGACCCACTTCAAGAACAATTTCTCATCTCCACAGAGGTCACTCCAGTGCGCGCAGTATCCATCCGAACCGTCCAAGTTGAACTTCTTATCGTCCGAGAAGAAACTGACGCCAAAAATCCAGCTTATCAATGTCCTTTGCAGCAATAGGACTACGAGCCTGCTTGTGTTGCGGATTCAGATACGGCGCCTGTTTTCCTTCGCTTATGTGATGAGCTTGCTCCAACTTCGGCACATTCAACACAGTGCGGGCAGTTGTCCTTGCCGACAGTGTCTTGGCGCTTTGCGCTGCTGAAATGTGGTGGACGATTGTTTTGCGGTACATGCGACGTATATCCCGCTTTGTCAGGTAAATGCGCCTTCTCTATTGCTTCATCGTACTGTACGACTCCGGGAAGTGTAGGTACGAACGCATTAATGGCTCAGGTTATTTGAAGTGTTATCCAATCTTACGATTGGATATGTTTTCGTGCTTTCATGCCAAAATTTGGCTCACTTCGATGACATTGAGCTTGGGACTCCTTGGCATGATGCGAAGTTGGCCAATTTTGGCATGGTTAAAGGCACGATGCTGCCATTTAATTGGCCTATTCCCCGCTCCAACAGTTTATGTTCATTTTGAATGTGAATTTTGGAATTTAGAAGATTTAAAACGCAATGCGCATAATAAAATTTCTGATGCATCAAGTCAGGTCAATTCAACCAGACTTAATGCATAATTTACCCGACATTTTCACGATATACTGAAGATTTCAATGGACGCAAAAACTATTTCGTGCACTCACAAGGGTTGTTACTGGAGGAAATACTTGCGCCTGCTGCCATGGTGGGTTTGCGGCTAAACCAGGATGTGTACCTTGCGTTGCTAACGCTCACCATGTCAGTTTGCGCGCTTGCATCACTGCGCTTGGGTTATCGGACAGATCAAATGCTGATGTGGGTCAAGATGCCAATTGCACGCAGGTGACATGTGTCTTCACACCATTCGCATGTAGAGGTCGTGAAATATCTACCAATGAAAAGCGTTGGGTGCCCTACATGCAGTACTCTATTTGATTGGCCATGGAAAGTACGTATACATATGATTGGTTTTAATAATGTATAAAACTAACGCGTTGCTCAACATTCCAAGGATCTCGCAAGTTACACACATCACTAGCCAAAGATCCATCAAGTTGGTGCAGTGCAGGTGCACTCAGAGTCGAATTCGCCAGCGATGCCCAAGTCCATCCAAGAAGGCAGGCCGCTTCTGGTTGCATCAGCCTCCGTGGCGACGGCGCCTCGTTACTTCTATCCGCACGTTCCAAAATGGCATGTGTGGAGCACGGCGTCGCCCATGTTCCGGTTCTGGTTCCTCGTGCTGCTGTCCCTAATCCCGTTCGCTGCGCACTTCGTCACGGTGCGATGCAGCGACAGTGAATTGCATGGGGTGTATGCTTCCTCATCTCATGGACGTAGAATGAATTGGGTGCGCTGCAGCAATTTATGCTTGACGACAAGACATTTCCCATCTCCAACACCATGTATGGCGCCCTGAACTCGGCCGTGAGCGTGCCCAATATGATTATTCCGTTCTTTGGCGGACATATCATGGACTCCCGTGGTCACTTTTCGATCCTCTGCTTTCTCGTCCTCATGTGCATCGGCCACTCGATCGTCGCGTTTGGCATGCAACAGCACACGTTCTGGATGGCGATTCTCGGACGAGTGATCTACGGCCTTGGCGGTGGCAGCGTCATCGTCGGTGTACGCGCCATGGTGTCGTACTGGTTTGATTCCAACGAGATTACTTTTGCCGTCGGGGTCATGGTCGCCTTCACCAGTTTGGCTAAGGTTCTGGCCAAATCGACGGTGGCCCCCATCGCGATGTACTTTGGGAGCTACACGTATGGTCTTCTCTACGGCCTCGCTGTGTGTTTTCTTTCGTGCGCTGTCGCGGTTGTATCCGTGCAATACATTCATCGCCTCAAACAGCTCAAGCGCAAGTTTAAGCAACAGCTTGGAGCGACAACCACGTCCACGCTTGCACAGCCTTCCGAAGCTGCTATGGACCCCGCCCTGCCGTGGCTCAATGCATACTTGCAAGCCCCGGGGAAGCGCTTCCGACCTGCGGCCATTGTCGCTTCGAACCACATGCCATCGCTATCCTCGCTTCGAGAATTCCCACTCATGGTACGTAGGCAGCAACAGATCATCGTCGGCACCGCGTTGTCGTCACTCATGTTCGTGTGTGGTGTAGTTTTGGGTCCTCGTGATCATGCACGTCGTATATGCAAATGTGTTCCATTTGTTTTTGAACATCTCGAGCAGCTACTTGTACCAAGTCCACGGGTACTCGGTCATCGAGTCTGGGATTGTGACCAGTCTCTCCCACGTCCTCGTTCTCTTTGCCCCCGTGGCCGGTCTCATCATTGATCGAACGGGGGGCCGCGTCATTGTGGTTGTAGCGTCTGCTGCGTTGGGCGTTGTGACGTACGGCCTGCTGCTGTTCACGTCGACGTCGCCAGTCGTGGCACTCCTCTTGGTGTCGATCTGTCTCTGTGCGACCCCGACGGTCCTGATGGCCTGCGTACCTCTCACCATTCCCAAGTCGCGCTTTGGCCTGGCGTTCGGGATCGCCGAAGTTTTCGATGCCGTCGGGACGTTCTCGGGCAACCTCGTCGTGGGATACATCCGCGACGCCACCGGGAGCTACACCCCCGTCATACACCTCTTTTTCACGTTGGCATGGATTCTCCTGGGCATGTGTATCGTCTTGGCCGTCCTAGACAGTCGCCATGGCAACATTCTCTCTGGGAAGAAGCAAGAAAATCACGCCAATGTCACTGTCGCTAACGACGATGATGTCGTTGTGGACATTCGTCATGGGATGTACGAAGCCACCAGCAGCGACGACGACGAGGCTGGCCGGCCTGCCAGCAAGGACTCCAAGTAGGCTCTCCATAAATATATTCTAGTTAACTCAGGGTACAGTGGTGTAAGTATGCGGGGACGGTGCGCTCGGGCTGCTCGTGTGGCTATCGGCCGATGCGGCGTTGCCTAAACTCCCCAACGAGAGCGGATGCCACTCAGGTCCGCTTCGATATTTTTGCGCAATGTTGATTGGCTGGCGTATTTTTCCAAAACGAAATTGAAAAAATCTTCTATTCGAGTGCAATGTATGTGTTGGTCGGAAAAACATTTGATACAACCGAACTTAGAGGTGTCTTTCTATTTAATTGGATTTGGAGGCCAATTGCATTTTATTGTATTCCGCACGGATAAACTTGAAATTTGTATGGACAACTGACGCATAAATATAATGGAAGTATTTGCAGCTGTGACTACAATTGTGGGGGGCAACAAACAGGTAGAACGGCCATCGACACTGCACATGACCTCGTCGTCCTCCGTTGCCGCCGACGCGCCGCGCACCTCCAAGCGATACGAGCATGAACCAGATTTATTCTCCCAACAGCTTCAGATGTATGCGTCCCTTGGACGTAACGAAGGACAGCAGGCGGCAAACGCAAAAGCCAAGACCGAGGCCGAGTTCATGGCACTACTCAGCGCGTATATTTCAGGCACGGAGCCGAAAGACTTCCGAGCATTTCTGCCGAGCCAAACCAACACCCAACGAAATGTTTCCAATAGCTCGGCCGAGTCGAAGCGCCACGTGACTAGTCCGACGTTGAAACCAGCGGTCTCGCCATCCTCGCCGATCCTGCATCCCCGAATCATTTCGCGCGTCGTTGGTGCGTTTGACATCCCCACGACCCCTCCAAATAGTGCCTCTGCACAACAAAGGCAATATCGCATCGACGTACCTGCGACCACCTACACAGAAGCACGCAGTCAACGCAGCGAAAGCAGCAGCTTACTCAATTCGCCCCACGCAGCCCCTGAAGATGATCTGGACTTTGACCAACGGAGCTCACTGGGGTCCGCTGACGACAACAACGAAGCCCACCCCCAGCCTGGTGGCGTCAAGTGGAACAGCGAGAGCGGGTTTGACGTCGTGTTTCAGCAGCAGTCAATGGGCATGAAACTCGGGTACGACGCCGTCAAGAAATGTGCGATCGTGAAGGAGTGCTTTGACGGAACCGAGTCGAAAAAGTACAAGCAGATCACGAACGGCGTTGCGATTGTGTCGGTGAATGGCCAGAGTTTGTGCGGCATCAGCCTCTCCAAGATCATGTCGCGACTGCGGGAGGCGCAGCGACCAGCCGTGATCCGATTTGAAACCGCCGCAGAAGGCGGGCCCTCGTTTCCGTAGACGGCGATGGCCGGTCGACACTATATATTAATGCAATGCAGGCACAACTATGGCATGGTGAAGGGCGTCTGCGTCTAGGAATCGTCAAAGACTTAGGCATCGTCAAGGCCGTCAATGCCTCAGTTTCGAGTGGACTGCACCAGACGTCGAGGGTTTGACGGCACCCAATACAAAAAATGCATATAAATAATTTTTCAATTTTCGCCAAAGCATTTCTGGTGCAAAGAGATCTCGATGGATTCCGCGTGTCCACAAAAACGGGACTGCTCGCTTCTATTCAACATTTTCGGGCGATGTTGCAACTGTGGGCTATCGCCGTCATTGCAAGTCGGTGTCGGCGCTCTTTCGATTGCTCGCACGATGGAGATTTCCACGGTCAATGCTTCTTTTGTACATTTTCGTAGATATTTCGATCGATTCGTCCAAATTTTTTCTGATATGGACACGATCTTTTTCGAAAGTTGACGAAAACACGAGGCTCTCTGATTGGGCGAATCGTAGAGCGTGGTCCACGTGGCTCATTTGACCTTCGACGTCACGATGCAACTGCGCGTGTTGACGGCGCTCTTCGTGCTGGGATGTGTGAACTTTGTGTCCGTGCGGGCCGACGTTGAGGCGAAAGAGCCACACGTTGTCGAAGATATTGCTGATGCAAACACGGCGTCGGACAATATCGTGCAAGCTGGCCTGGACGATGCGGCCGACCCGATCTCGAGTCAAAAACCCCACATCAGCGAAGAAGTTGTCGCGCAAATGATGGAGTTGATTTCTCCAGAGTGTCGCGCTGCAATTCAAATGAATCCCGAAGATGCAAAAGGATTGTCGGATGAGTGCAATACTGAAGTGCAAACGACACTGCAAAAGCTCATGGGAGGCAACGTCCGCAACCCGAACGACCCAGTCACCCCCGAGATCTTTGGAAAGATGATGGCGTCAATCCCCGCCGACTGTCGTGCTGAAATCGAAGCCAACCCCACGGACGGCTCCAAGATTTCCGACCCGTGCAAGCAAACGATTCAAACTACTCTCTCCAAGCTCATTGCCAAAGCCAAGCGAGCTGAGGAGTTCAAAAAGTCGAGGGCGTCTGCAAAGCCGTTTGAAGGCTCGACAGAAGATCAAGCGAAGTCCAAGAAGCAACGCCGTGGCAAGAAGGAAACCAAGGGCAACAACACGACGACGTTGTTGTTTGTCATCGGGTTTGTCGTCACAGCCCTGGCCGGGGTCGTCGGGTACGCGTACATGTTGCACCAAAAGCAAGCGCTCCAAGGACGGACGTCAAAGGCCCCGAAGAAGCTCAGCAAGCACAAGAAGGAGAAGGAGGGGCGCCGCCAAGCAGCCGCAGCTGCAGCATCTATCAATTGACAGGAACAACAGACGTATCACTCGTGTCATGGGCTGGTTCCACGTATTCTGAGCACGACACACTTGACGCCAGATTCACATTTGTCGTACATATTAAACGACCCTTCTACAGGGCAGCTGCGAATGCAGTTGGTTGACCAGGCCATTCAAACGGAGACAAGATGCTCGCCAGCACACACCGCCCTGTCGCCTTCATATGGCGACGACTGTCAGCTCTCCTTCGAGACTCTCGAATGTGGCTTGCACATGGCTGGACGTCAGCGTTGCCGGGCATTAGCGTCAATCTCCTGCTCTTCTGCGTAAACGAGTGCCACAGGCAAGCACGTGCTGCACTTGGTTCTACAGCTCTCCAACAAACGCACTGCATGGCGGTTTTAATGGAAGGATAGACGAGCCTTTCGAGGCGAGCGTGGGAGGTTCGTTACAATCCTACGACATGTTGAATGGCGAAACTGAGAAGGCGACGGCTGTTGGGCATTCTCGCTCTGGTCTTAGGCAATACTGGTATGCATGAGGGCGTGGAAGCGCTGCCCCGGCAGACGCACAGACCACAAGTAGAGGGTCCTGTCATCCTGTGTCGTGAGGGTGGCTTGTAAGCCTCTCCCGTGCCATTAGGTAGTTCGGCAGGTTTCTGCGGTTGTCGGTGGTCAGGAGCTTGTCGGTACGAGGCTCGTGGCGTGCTATCCCTAGCAATGAGCCGAACAGCGACGACAGAAATGTCATGTTGAAGCAACCGATGGCATGGACAGTGTATTTCGTGGCAATCCTGTTCCTCTAATGCACACAAAACCTTGGGCACACCAACAGGTTGATGCACGGTCATCCAAGTGGTCCGGAATGCGATGGATATGAATATTTTCTATATCTATGGATGGGCAGGGATTCGTCGTGACTATATGTTGCTCGCAACCAACTTGGTCGTTTCCGTCGAGTACATGAATGGCTGTCCCTCTTCGTCGCTAAGGGTGGCCGCTTGCGACGGCTGCCGCGACAAGACAATGACTCCCACGATCGTCGTCACGATGGCAACAGGGTACATGATGATTTGCCACCATCCTTGCATGTCATGGTCCTCCCGAAAGAAAATGACTCCGGAAATCGACCCTACTCGCGCGATGAACGACCACATGGACTCGAGAAAATGCAGACGTACCGCACAAAATGAGGAACGATTCGTAGATAGCAACGACGTGCAGCGCATCGTATTCCTTCAACCCCAGGTTCAGGACAAAGATGCCGCCAGCAGCACTCCCCAATGCCCCTGCAAAGATAAAGTACGTGCCGACATTCCTCCACACGTCACCGCCGTTGCCAATCAATTCAACAGACGTCTATACGCCACCGAAGCACGCGTGAGCGATCCCAGCCGTCCACGCCATCGGTCAGGCAAGCTCAAGGAAAACGTACCTTCATAAAGTAAAGGTTGCCACCGACCAGGCCGGCCAACGCGCCGAATGCAAAGCGTCGCGTGTAACTCGAGTGGGGAAACGTGTGGACGATGTACGACAGCTACATTTCACGGTAGCACAGGTCAGACATGCCGGTCAGTCGGCGATGCACTTACTGCGATACATGACACGGCAAAAATACTGGCGTACACAATGAAAATGGCTTCGGAAAAGAGAGCGTAGAGCTGCTCAGGTGTGTGCGTGGGCGATGCATGGTCGCCGGACATGCTGACAAGGCCACATCCCACGAGAATGATCGACGACCCTTGCACGACTTGGTCGGACAGTGTCTCCTTAAGCACGTACGGAGCCAACACGATATTCCACACAACACTAAAGCCCGCCATGGGCGCTAGCACGGACTGTGCCGCAAATGAGTAGCTCCACGCGTCGAAGACGGGGTTGATGACGATCACACACACAAACGCGCCGGCAAAGTAGAGGTAGCTGTCGTGGCGCTTGTGGGCAAGTTTCATCAGGACCTTCCCAACAGTTCCGACTAGACTCGCTGCCAGCGACAGGACAATGCCAACGAGCCACCCGTAGTACATGATGGTGACGACCGATGGCGCTGGGGTTGGCGAAGGGGACGTGATGCGTGCAGTGCCGCCTGTGCCCACTGGGTCGAGAGAGATTCGTGGGGGTTCCAGTGTCACTGGTACGGCCCAATCAGGGCCGAGTCTATGGTGGTTACACATCGCACTTACACGAGATTTTCACCACAAATAAAACTACGATGTTGCAGGCGTGTATTTTTATAATCTCCAACAACCGCCCTCGTGACGTAAAGATTCGTCGAGGGGGCAACGACACGTGCTGTCTCGAGCTGCCATTGCCTTCAGTAGCACCTACAGCTGCAACTCACGTGTGCACCTTGAAAAATGTCGGCAACGGCACACTTTGGGATTCTGTTTCCGTCAAAATTTATGCGCCACAACCGATCTTCTTCATGCAGGTTGCATTCCCCTGACGTCGACGGGACCTTTAAGCACCGAGACGACCATTGAGCTGTGTCCAAGCGGTCAGCATCGATTGAAGTTGTTCAGCGTTGCACTGATTTGAATGCAGCCGACGTGTAATACTTGTGGCATGCATGCCCTCCAGAAACAAATACCGCTGCTGTCTTTCTAAATACATTATTTCTGATTCTTGATAGTGTACGATCTTCATCGCCTCTTGCATTTAATACGTCAATAAATACATCAGCCAATCACACGTGACTTCGTTGGCGACGTCGTTGGTGTAAAAGCAGGTCGTAATAAAATCCTTTCGAAAAATATGCTCTACTTTTAAACCATGATGACGAGACGCAGTATGCAATACAATTATGATCTTTCAAATAGATCATATTTAAAAAGGAAAATACACCTGTGACACTACGGTCCAGTGGGATCTGACCGTCCCATCGAACGCACTTCCATGGGATTGACACATTCTCCGTTCTGCAGCGGAGGCCGTTCGACAGGCGGCATGCTCGACGCGCCTGGGAACCTCCCGATACTTTGCGGCTCCTTGATGTTCTACTTCGTGTGGCTGACTGCAGCGAATGCGTCATCCATTCCTTCCCAGCGATCGACAACTGTCATGTGCCCGCTCATATCCATGTTTGAAGACCACGTGGCTGGCGCGCCACAAGCCAAACCGACGCCACCGTGGTGGGCACTGCCTGGGGTTCCTGCGACGGCATCGTTGGAGATAGTTCTGGAACCACGATTGTCCGCCCTCGTTTGTCCGAACAGGTCAAATCCGGACCAGGTGACCAAGAAGAAGAGGAAAGCAAAACCTGCCGATAAGCACATGGCGCTGAAGTTGCTCCTGTTTGGCACGGTCGTGATCGTCCTCACAACGCTGTTCTAGCTCGGTGTCTTTGCCACTCTCATATTTAAATAGACAAAACGTGTGAGTTAACTGGAACACGGCGCTAGTCCTGGAAAGTAGGGTCCGAAGGCTCGTCGATGAGGCCTCTCGCCACACTCCACCCTGGAGCTTCAAAGTGCATTCGTTGACTGGAATAGCTCCTCAAGAAATTCAGGGACCCTCATATGATGCAACAGCCGGCTGTTATTCGTCGCCACGATCCTACAACGCCTCTCCAGCCCTAGCGGAGTCTATCCCAAACTACTGCCATCGCCCTGATGCGTCGACATGCAGGCAGCCCCTCGCCGGCTTTCCGAGCACCGACCTGGCGCATTGGCAACCCATTCACATGGTCTGTTCTACAAGCCATGTTGTTTCACCCGCTCAACTTTGTCATGTCCACGGCAAGCTTTGCTGTCGTCGTCACCTCGATTTGCTCTCACTTGTACTTGTACATCACGACCGCTTTGCGGTTCCGGCGCGACGACATGATCGACCAGGTCGACATATTCCTGCCACATTGCATTGCCAAGGCAGCCACGACCGATATCACGATTCATGAATACTTTCGACTCCAGCACGACACCGCTGAGGACTCGGTTCTCGTCGGCGTGGATTTGCGCGTTAAACAATCGTTCTTCCACTCCGCTGCCACGATAGAGTTGTACATGGCCACAATCTACTTTGTGTCTGTCAAGCCGCTCTGCTCGAGCCTGTTTTTGTACGTGGGGCCGCTGTCATTCGTGGCTGCTTGCCTGAAGCTATTTGATCCGACGCCAGCCGAAGTCCACAGCGTCATGACCGCCTTCGAGTCGTGGACCGGCCGCGAGGTCAACATGCAAGTGGCCCGGTGGGTCGTGTCTGGCGAGGTCGTCGTCACCGCGATCGTCGCGCTCATCGTGTCGGAACTGACCGCACTCATCTCGCACGACCTCATGCGAGTCTTTTGTTGCGAGTGGAAAGTCGAGTTCGATCGAGACACGCTGGCCCAGCTCCTGCCGTTCGCTGCAGCGAAGACATCAGGGTATGGTACCACAGCCGACCCAGTGCCATTGCTGGTACCCGTGGACGTGGTCCGTCGCTAAAAGTCGGCGAATTCCCGGTCGGCCGCCGCAGAGATCGATTTGTTGGACTTGGGTGGGTGTTTGTCGTGAAGTGTAAAGTTGCCAAAGTCCCCCGCCATGTGAAGGGGCGGATGGACGGGACACTCGATTCGCAGCGCATCGACCATGGCCCAGTCGACGTCGGCGAACCAGTCGTGCTGTTTAATCTTGACAGGGTCCACGAGTCGCTTGGTCAAGTCGGGTTGGAGCAACTGCCGGATCAAGTCTTTGTCGATGTTAATGCAGCGGCCACTGCCGTGGCATCGTACCTTTGGCGTTGGGCGTGAAGCGGTCGCCAAATGTAAGCTTGCCTTGCACGACGCGTGTGTACAGCTCGTAGGGCGTGTCCGTCGCGGACCGAAAGAATGGAGTGCGCCCCATGAGCAGCTCGAACACGACACAACCAAATGCCCACCAGTCCACGGCCTGGGTGTAGCACCGATCATTCTTGCGGAGTTGCTCCGGGGCGAGGTACTGCGGAGTTCCGAGCGACGTGGTGCACCGACCGTTGTCTTCAGGATTCCCGACATACTTGGCAAATCCACAGTCGACCAGCCGAATGTGCCCGTGCGCGTCGAGCACAATGTTTTCGGGCTTCAAGTCGCGGTAGATGTACCCTTCTTCGTGAACGAACGCAAGGACGAGGACAAGCTCGGCAGCGAAGAACTTGGCCTCGTGGTCGTAAAACCGGTGGTACTCGTGCAGCCTGTCGAGGAAACAAACAACGTGAGCCATGCATTCCATGTCTCTCCTTTCGACGTACCACTTGAAAAGCTCGCCGCCGGGAACGTACTCGAGAACAAAGTGAATTTGGTCGCTGGATTGAAACGTAGCAAAGTACTTGACCAGAAACGGATGCTGCAGCGTCTCCATCGCTTGCTTTTCGCTTTGGACATGGCGCAGCATGTTGCGATCGATCACGTCTGCCTTCCACATGGACTTGATGACAAAATACTGCCGAGACAGCTTGTACTGAGCGATATACACGTGACCGATCATGCCTGTTCCAATCAACCCCTTCAGGTCAAAGTCCTTTAGGGACAGCGCTCGCTTGGCCTTGAGCGACGTGCCTACGAAGGGTGCGTACGTCACGAGTGAGGGATGAACGGCGCGCACCTATCCAGTCGACGGGCGGCGGCGGGTCATCTTGCAATGCCGCCATCACATACACATTTACCCGCCGCGTGGAACTACCTCCGCCCATTCCGCCGTCGACTGTGAAAATGGACGTTGTAACTCCCATGGTGGTTCTGACATGAAACGGATGCCCATCGCATGCAATGGTCGGTACGCTATAGGTGGTCCCACCGCTGCCGCGGCACTCCACTGTCAGAGCCATGCTGACGAGTGCGATGGCATCTTATGATGCGAATGGATACGCAAACGTGTGTTCAAGGAAAGGCATGTGCTATTCCGTCATGTGGCATATTTGCAGAGCTAACGAAGCCGTGGTGCGGTCGTCGTTGCTTGTGCTGGGTAATGTAGCGAGAGCTTGGAGGGCTTGACGAAGCGAGACAGGTAGCTTGGGCGGGTGTCTCTGTGATGCCAATGCAGACTTTAGCCCTTGGAGGCATCGTAGTCGAGTCGAAGGATTCGACGTGTCCGTCACGGCGTCCATGAGCGAGCTGTCACATCAAGTGTCACCTTTGTCATGGTTAGACCTTGCGTACCGAAGCGGTGACAACGACGGCATTCCTTCGCGGGGGAAGAGTTCCTTGAAAGCCAAGTCGCCAAACAACTAGAACGCAATTAGAAACACACTTTTGGACAGCTCGCTCGATCACCACCTGACAAAGAATCGACAGACAACGAGATGCTTTGTCAGCACATGCGGGCGCATCGTCGTTGTCGTCGGGACAACGCTTGGTCGCGCACAGGACGGCAAGTCGTGGCACGCACCGGACAAACTCAGGATGATGCTGGGCAAACAATGCGGTATTCGAAAGGTCCGACGCCACTCTCGATCGCAGTTGCGCCAAATGGTCGTACAGAAGGGCATACATGAGCTCGAGCAGGTCGCCTATCGGCCCAACCAACGCGTGATTGTCATCGGCAAGCACAGCATTCGTAAGCAAGAGTGGCAGTCCCATCTCGTACACCTGGCGCACAGGCACTTCGTTCGATTGCACCACGAGGAGGAGCAGCTTCGTCGTGCTGGCGCACATCGTGTGAACCAAGAGGTGCAAAATCGGGTCGATCAATTTGAGCCGATACAAAATACTGACAAACGCGACGTCATGGTGGACAACGTTGTACAAGAATTCCACTGCACATCGGCGGACACGATCGTTCGTCGACGCGTGCAGCAGCACGTGAAATGTTGGGAGCAAGTGGTGCACGATATACTCATCCACGTACGGCGCGGGTGAAAACACGTCAAGGGCGCAGTTCACGACACGAATCGCGTCGGCCACCACGTCCGAACTCGTGACGCCGGTCGATGTCAGCACTGCCGCCAGCTGAAAGAGCGCCGTTTGAAACCAAATTTGGTTCGCCATGTCTGCATCGCTCACAATGTCATGTTTGGAAAACACGAGCAGGAGGATTTTCACGGCGGCCTCCGTGGTGGCTTGGATCGCGTTGGCCAGTCCCACGGCAAAACATTCGTTTTCTTGGTTGACGTTGTCAAGCAAAATCCCGACGAAAACTTGGCGGCATTGTGGGTGGTGGAGCAGTTGACTGACCAAGCCCTCAAATAGTGGAAGCACATCCAAGGCCACCCGGTCGTCCCCGAGTGACATGGTTACTTCCAGCGCAATCCGAGAACTCAGCGCCACGACTTGCTGAGCGGACTGCAACGCATAGATGCTCGTGGCCGACGACGGCGCTGCGTCGTGCACCAACAACGCATCGACGACCTTGAGAAGATTGGACTGGACAAACAGGACGGCGAACTCACGACTGGCTTGCAAGCCAAAGTACAGAAACAGGAGGAGCTTCCCATGCACGAGGTTCGTGAGCTTCACATCGCCATCCTTGAAGCGCCCCGTCGCGTGGATGTGACCCGACTCGTCTTCTTCAAACTCACGACTCTCAAGCGCATGGCCAAGGGTTTCCAGCGACCGAAGGTTGCAGATTGTAGACATAAACTCCCCCTTCGGGATGTCGGTGGACAAGTCTTGCGCCGTGTGCTGCAGCGTCGCATTCAACACGTTGAGTGCTGCAATCATCCACCGATAGTCTCGTTGTGCGAGCCACAAGTGGTCCCATGCAATTGACATGTTACGTGCCACGTGCAAAAAGATCGTATCAACCACAGTCGACCCGTCCAACGAAGGCGCACTTGCGTGTTTGAGGACTTGAGCCATCGTTTGGATGGCGGCAACTTGAAGAGGTTGCTGAGTTGCTGGCTCGCGCAGGCTTCGGTCCATCAGAGCGTACGCGACGGCGGGGGTGACAAATGGGGCCACGACATCCGAGTCGGTGGCGTGCGTCAGGATGTTGCATAGCGTCTGCACAGCGTAGTGTCGCACGATGGCGTCAATGTCCTGAATGCCTCGCACCAGACATTGGACGGTCGGAGGATTCAACGGCCGCGTCGGTGCTTGCGTGATAGTGTAAAATGCCAGCTCCCCCACACACGCCATGACTCGCCTCGTGACTTGGACGTTGTCATGCTCGACTTGCAACGTTTGAATCAAGATGGGCAGGATGGCGCCTGGTGTCGAGTCGCTGACGACGTCGGGGGCGATGAATGTGGCGAACCGGACAACGTAGCCCAGGACGAGCCCCAGTCGAGATGACAGCGCGGATGACGTAGATTGCTCAAGCAATTTCCCCAGCAACGTCATGAGGGACGAGTTGACAATGATGTTGGCAAACTATGCCGCAGATCAGGTAAAGTTGAACTGATGGAGTCGTCGGCTCACCTTGGACGACGTGGCCATAGCATACAGGTACGCCAAGGCGTTGTGCTTTTCAGCGACAGTGGCGTCGTTGCCACGAAGGTAGTTGTACAGCTGCTCCAGTTTGGCCTCAATGTCCTTTTGTGTCGTGAGGGATTCGACGGGCACGATGGGGAACGGCAGCATCGACTCTTTGATACGCGGGACAGCCACCGACTCGATCGACGTGCATGCCACGATCGGCTTGACGGAGCCATCCAGCGTCGTGAATATCCTAGCTTTGGCGTGTTTCAGCGCATGGAGCGATGACTTGGACGGCTTTGGACCGCGCCGTTTGGATTGAACTGGCGCCGTCTTGGGTGGGAGTCTGGCGACATGGTGACGAGGCTCGTCCAGTTGCAACATGTCAACTTCGTTGTTCGGAGGAGTAGGTTGGTGGGCCTCAGGTGCAGTGACCGGTCGCATTGGGACCACTGCGTCGTCCTCGTTGGAGCATGTGCTGGTGCTGTCATGCGATTCAGTAGACGATCGCTTGTCGATAGGCGATGGATCGAAATTGGTGGTTGGACTCGTTTGGGGTCTATCGAAGCATTTGATGAAGATAACAAGGGGACTTCGTACCGAGTAGGGGAATGGGCCATAGGGTACAGCTTAGCAAACAATTCTTGCGGCGGAAACGATGGAGGCGTCGCACGAGATGCCTGATCACCCCAGAACGGATGGCACAGAATGTCATGCCTGCAAGTGAACCATGACCCACGACGTGGGACTCTGTAAATACCACGTGATGCGGTCGGCTGGGTCCTTCTCGAGCAAGCGGCGGAGCAAGTCGGCGAAATCAGCTGACATGTTTATGCCGTTTGGCGGGAGTTGCACGGGTTCCGTTTGAATCTAGCCACGTTCGAAATCTCGTCAATCATGTCAGAACTTTATACTTGGATGCGTGCGACGAGAGGGAGGCCATCCTGTACCATGCTCCGAAGGTCGACAAAGCCGAGGCTGGAAAACGGCTGTGTCCCCGTGAAGAGTTCGTACAACACGCAACCCTGGCGACTGTGCGTCAAACAACATGTCATCCATCAACAAGCCGCTTACGAGTGCCCAAAAGTCGGACGCAAAACTGTGCACTGGATGTGGATCAAAGAGCTCGGGGGCCATGTAATGCGGTGACCCGGGGGTTTGGTTCTCCTGGTGATGCATGGCGATGACATTGGTTGAGCTAATTTGTTCGAGATGGATGTGGAAACCTTTTGAATACTTTCTTCCGTTGGTATCTTGCGCGCCAAGCCAAAGTCCGAGAGCTGCGCGTGAACATGAGCGTCTGTACAATGCGACATCGTGATGGACAAACTTACTTTCAGACAGCCGTACTCGTCAATCAAGACATTGGCGGGCTTCAAGTCACAGTATATCACACCATTCGTGTGCAGATACAGCAACCCCATCAACATGTCGTGTCCAAAGCTCTAGACGTCGCCATGTCATTAAGAATCCCAACAAGGCACAACCGCGTACTCGGACAGACTCTTCGGGGAGCGTCTTGTCTTGTGTGATGAGGTTCAAGAGATCGCCGCCAATGCAGAACTCAAAGATGATCCAGATGTGGTTTGTCGACTCGTACCAGTTGTGAAACTTGAGCACGTACGGGCTATTGAACTTGTGCAGAAACTGCACTTCGTTCAGGATCTTGGCCATCCGGTCCTTGGCCGTGCTTTTCACCGCGACGTACTCAATGCTGCGCTTCCGCCGCGCCTTGTATACGTTCGAGTGCTGTCCGCGCCCGATCTCGTCGTATATGTTGTAGTTCTCCATGCCTTGACCGCCGGACGCCTGCCTCGGGCTGTCGATGCTGTTGTATCTTTTTTTGGGGTCGCGCTGCATCCGGATAAAAATCCGGTTAAAAATTGGTCCTTCCGTGTCATGTTTCCCGCCCGTGACTTGTCCACGCGCCAATCGACATGACAAGCCGTCAGTCGTACGAGTTGCGCTCGAGATCAGGGACGCCTTTTGCGACACCGCCGCCAAAGTCTGGTCGTTGGGAAGATCAGACGCTGCAAGAATCCAAGGAGAATTCGGATGAGGAACCCTTCACGACGCAAGGGACGAATGAGTCTTCCACGACAACATTTACAAACGACTCGACTGTGTTCCGCGAAAGCGAGTACACTGAAGAGTACGACGAAGACAGCGACGACGATCAAGTGCAATTTATCAAACACAACAAGCCACGTTTCGGAAAGCGCGTCCATGTGATCGCAGTATAGTCCTCCTTTGATGCGTTCTTGCGTGATGCCTGACCGACAGCATTGCACTAGACGACGAGTTTGCGCATGCTCTTGGAGCTCATCAACTTGATGTGGTTTCTACTTCCGTTCGTTTGCCTTGTCGTGGCATTGGTGTTGCCTCGGTACGTACTCTCCCTGCGCCGCCTCATTCCACATCCGAACGTTCATGACGTTGTGAATAGGCACTTGATCGAGGCCATCCAGGCAACCCCGGTTTCGTTGACTTCCCCAGGACATAACCACTTGAACTCCATGAGCAGCGTCCAAACTCACATGGACGCGATGATCAAGGAAATCGGCCACCTGAAAAAATTCCAAGAGGAGCACGAAGTGCGCATGGAAGAAATCATGTTCTTGTACGAGCAAATGACCAAGCAGGTCGACACGCTTGCCGATACGGCGCGAACGCCCTCGAGTGTTGTCGGCGATGAGGCTGTGCTGAATCACGTGTCGGAGATGATCCAGACGGCGCTGAAAAAGGCCATTCGTGACGTGGTATCTAAAGCTGTTTTTCTTTTAATTTTTTCAAGTTTATTACATAGAAAACCGAGTACAAGGCAGCTCTCCAACCCGTCGAAGCTAGCTTGCGCCTGGTGACAACCCAAGCGACGTTGATCGAGAACGAACTCAAGACGCACAAGGATCGGTTAACCGTATGTGCCACTGATGCATCTTGCACCAGAGAGCTGACGCGACTATCGTGTAGGACGTTGAAGACCTTGTAGAAGGCAGCAAGACTCAACTGCTCGAAACTATTTACGACGCCAACAACCCCGAGCTGCTGGAGCGGCAAATTGAGTCGATTGTGGCCACGAAGATCGGTCAGGTCCAGGACCAAGTGACGAGGGTGATTTCGGAAGAATCGACTCGCCACGTGAAGGTGCTGAAAGCAGAACTCCACAACGCGACACAAGCTGGCCTCGACCGCCTCATCGACCAAAAGGTGGCGCATCATCTTACTCAGCACATTCTATCGGACGGCACGACCGGCGGCGTCGCTGTGCAACCACAAGGACGGGTGGACTATGCGAGTTTTGCTGCTGGTGCGCGCGTCGTGCGTCACAAGAGGCAAGCTCTCACGAGCTGCTTGATGTGTGTAGCTCACAATGTCGTAGCGATTTGACTGGACCCAAGTTTTTGACATCCGTCGTGCAAAACTTGTTTTCCCCATCCATGTTCACGTCCAAGTCGTACAATGCGTTCCCGCTCTGCTCCCTTGCCGGCAACTCGTGCCAGAACGCCAAGCCCGAAGCCGCGATTTCGGTACGGCGGCCCTGTTGTCACCACGATGACGCTTGCGTACGTAGTCCAATGTGGATGTGGGGCAATGCTGGGGCCTGGCATCCAACGCGGGCAAGCTGACCGTGAAATTGGCCCACCCCGTCATCCCTGACACCGTCGCACTGTATCACATTGACCCGTCCATCGCGCCTGACTTTTCATCTGCCCCCCGTGACTGTCAAGTTCTTGTACGTCTTCGTCCAGGTACGGTGGGTGTACACGTTGTCTGATGGTGTCGAAGGGCTTGATTGTGGAAGGAAGCGAGGTGCGCCAAGTCGACTTGGGTTCGTTTTCGTACCAGAAAGACGGCGGGTCGCGGCAGGAGTTTCGTCTAAACAGCCAGGTTCGACCGAGGGACCCCAACGTGGTGCCGTCGCGCGTGCTAATGGAATGTCCGTTGCCCCCATAGGGAACTCCAGTGCATGGCGTGACGTTGCGCGTGCTGTCCAACTATGGCAACGAAAAGTACACGTGCCTGTATCGATTCTCTGTCCATGGCGAACGCCCAACAGCCTAGCCAGAGGTCCATTTTACCAACTCAAACAGTTGTGTCTCCATGTTGATCATCGCGCATTCAACATGCCAAGCAGATCGACGTACATATCTATCAGCATCCCATTGCAACGTCATGGTGTCTGGTGGTCGAGAAAGGTGGTTTGCACAATTGGCCGTCCGAGCGCATTCGGTGGCACGACGTGTGCTCCAATACGGTTCGATGGCCACCGCACGATGCACACCGTGCAGTCAGTGATAAATATGTGGTCGAATTGATAAAGATCATTGGCTGGGAAGGGTTCGCTAATAGTCCAATGTGAGGAGGCCCATGTTGTCAGGCATCGACCTCGGGCTGATCTGGTGGGCGAGTAAGTTGCGCTTCATGCCGGCCATAGTTTGCTTGATGCGAGCGAGATCTCGCCGCGTGTTGTACCGAATGATGTCGGCCGTCGGCACTTCTTTTTGCAACGAAGGCGCGGGTCGAGTCGGTTTGCCGAGCTGCGTCGAAATCAACACGTCGATGTCGCGTAGCACGCTGTGCAGGTCTGTTGGTTGCTTTACGGACGGTTGGTGGTGGTCGTGGGCTTGATGGAGCACCCACTTACGGAGCTCGCCCATGATTCTCGCCGGCGCAGAAATGTGGTTGGACTTTGCCGCTGGTTGGAAAGCAGTTCCGACAACGTTGTCCATGATCTTGCTAAGCTGAGTCATGCCGACGTCCCGCAGATCCACGCGACGTGTGAATGTTTCTGCAGGAAAGCGGTGGCGGGATTTCGTCGGCACTTGGGCGCCGTCTTCTACGCCTGCAGCCATGTCGCTGGCACAACCGCTGTACAATGCGCTGTCGCTCCACTTCAACAGCGTGGCACTCGCATTCGACGAAGGCACGATCCCTTCAAACTTGACCAGCTCGTACGAGTCTTCCCACAACATCAAGACGTCCGTCCGGCCGTTGGTCGTCGCATGCAGTGCAGATCCGTATGGCTTTTTGCTTGAAACGCAATGGTGCCCGAGAGCGCAACGAACTGCTCGACCAAACTTTTTGTTTTTGAATTGCAAGCGATCAGTGGTTGTGGGGAGCCGACGCCCTTGGTGGACGAGTGCAGTATACGTCATAAGAACTCGGGAGCCAAAAATGCGACCCATCGACGCTTCAAAGCACCCGCGCTGCACCATAGACATGTTGACCCCTCCACCGCGGATGTAGAGGGCAATTTGACGAGGCAGGTGGTCCACGACTTCGTCGTTCTCGCGCTGCGCTGTTCGACCTTGGCGTTGTCGCTGTTCACGTTCCCACGAGTAGAAGTCGAGCCACTTTTGAGACGTGAAGTCAAAGCTTTGCAAAAACCGCGTCACCAAGCGAAACTGCAGCCCTGAGATGGATACACGTCCCGAGTAGCACATCTTTGCCATTTCGCTGGTGCTTGCTTTGCCCGAGTACACGTGCAGGAAGTCTTCGATGGAGGATCTGACTTCGCAGTCGTACTTCAGGTCGGTCGATGTAGGGTCGACGAGGTGGGTTTTCACCCCTTGGTGCTTCTTGCATCGGACAAGGTAGCGCATCGTTTGCGTCGAATTCTCAACCTTAAACGTAAAACAAATCGTTCCTTCAAAGGCCGATGCCGGTTGGAAGCTAAACTCGAAGAATTTCATCATGTCCACAATTTCCTTGGCGCGAGGGATGTCTCGGATCTCGGCGGGCAGCACTGCATCAGCGCGTGCGATGTCCATCTTTAATGGACGGAATCGAATGTGGCCCAACTTCGCCAGCCATGGCACGACGGTATCCGGAACGTTGAAGTGCACGCGCAACATATAAAATTATCATTTGGATTTAAAATGCGACCTGGATGCGACATTAAAATATAACGTCTGCGATGGCTTTCATGGGGTTGTGCGATCCGGATACCATGTTGACGCCATCTCCTTGGCCAATCCCATTGCGAGAACCTGATTGGACCAAACCGACATGTTGACGCAAAAGCGAGCTTGCCAACGGGACGACGCGACCGAAGCCATGGCGGAAGAGGTTGCCGGCGCTCGCCACGCACAGCCTCACGAAGATGACCGATCTGGGATAGCGGTCCTGGAGTTGTGCAGGTGACATTGGATGTATGGCGGCACGTGCCTTAGCAGGGGAATGGCTTGACTTGGCGGCACTTCCCAGATTCTTCTCTATCGGAGGCGAAGGGTACTCTCACCGAGGTGTATTAAGTTTGAGACGGATGCCGGACGTTGTGGCGATGGTCGGGATGTTCTTGATGCGTACATAATTTACGGATGCGCTAACTCATGCCTTGGCTGTGTATGACCGAATGGCTTTCACGCCGTGGTGAGTGCGCACGGTCAGGAATAGCATGGACCACATGAGCTTCTGTTCCGTTTGCTTGAGCTTGGCCTCTAACGCAATGTTTTCGCGGTGCAATCGCTCGCACTGACGATTCGATGCATCCAATTGCTCTTCGAGGTCGGCAATCTCATTGTTGAGTCCCTTCGTGATGGCCTCTTGTCTCTCAAGTAAGGTCCGCTGAAGCAGCTCGAGTTCTTCTTCAAGCTTTCCGGCGATCGAGGAAGCATCATTGGTCATCATTTGCGCATGGTTGAGTTCTTGGCTCAGTTGATTCTTGCTGCGCACCTCGTCCAGCAACATCGAGTGCAGCTCTTCAACGTGGTGTTCCAGTTCTTGGATGCGCTCTTCCATTCCCCGCACACGCCCGCTTTCAGTGTGCCTTGACTGCTCGTCCAAGGCAAATGCCAACGTAGACAAGAGTTGATGTGCCAGAAATTTATCGATCGATGCCGTCAAGGGACCGCAGTATTGAATGATCGAGTCGACCCAATTGTGCAGTCCTATCCGACCAGCCATGGAGGCTGTGGCAGACAACATGCCATTCACCAGCGGCAAGTCCAGACTTTTAATATGTTCGAGCGACCGCTGGCATTTGAACTCCCCCCACCTCAACAGTGCTCGAATGATCGCAATGTCAGAATCGGACGGCAGGTGCATGCTCGGCCAGCAGTCCGGATCGTCGCCGCCCCCCTCGAGTGCAAGTGATGCCATGAACGAATAAATCCATGATGGGTTGTCACACTCTAAGTCGCTCGCGATAGAAGGTAGGCGATGTCATTCCCTTGATATAAGAACTCACCATGTTGGTGACTCGATCGGGGTCGTCTTGGTATCCGGATGGGTCAAACCCAATGACCCAACCCAAGTTTGAAATTTCAAATGTCTTGGGGTTTCGATCGAGTCAATTTCATTTTTAATATTGCATACAATATGGAAGTACGAATTGCCATAATGAAAAATAATTTAAAGTTCTCTGGTGGATTCGCTGTATGGGCCAATTCAACGTTGGCTCCGTTGCGTCGATCACACCACGTCAGCGAAGATCTCGCGCTGCCGTCGCATTCTACATCCTGCCGACCCCGCTGAACGCCACCTTCGTCAGGTTATCTATAGTGCTGCTTGGTCCAAGTCCAGATGCAGGCCTCCTCCCACACGAACGATGAAAACAGCCAAGCTGTGAAGTCACGACCACGGGTTTGGTCGCACATGCGTGTTCCACTAGTTCCTTACTCGCGTAGGCCTACAAGCCCCTTGGTGATCGCGGCGCCGTCAAGCATGGCGAGCGAATTTCCACATTTAACAGCATTCTGAAACCTCAGAACAGCTTCAAGCGTCCTGCGCTGGGCAACATCACAAACAAGTCGACGGTACTGATTTCGGTCTGCCAAGGCTAGGTACTCACGAACGTGACAAGGTCATCACCAACAAGAAATCCATCCTGGAGACGCAGAAAGTGGCGAGACGTGAAGACGTCATCCGCCGAACTTCGATTGGAACGCCCAAGAAAGTGTCGCGTGCCACGCCAGTTTTGAGCACACATATCTCGACGTTCAAGATCGAGCCGATTCTCGAAGCGGACAATGAGTTCGACATCGACAGCGATGACAAAGGCGACGAGCGATCAATCTGGCAATACGCTGCTGAAATCCACAAATACTACTTAGAGATTGAGGTAGGACGCGCGATTGCCCCTGACCCCATTCAAGCAACCTGCCGTCATGGTAGAAATACCGCGTCGCGAGCCCCACGTACATGCTTGACCAGGTCGATGTGAACACGAAGATGCGTTCCATTCTCGTGGACTGGCTTGTCGATGTCCACTACAAGTACAACTTGCTCGAGCAAACGCTGCACATCGCAGTCAACTTGATTGATCGCCACTTGGAGAAGAATCTGACCTTGCCGCGTGCGCGCCTGCAACTTGTGGGCATCACTGCGCTGTTCATCGCGTCCAAGTACGAGGAGATATACCCACCCGAGGCTGCAGACTTTGTCAAGATCACCGACAACGCGTACACACTGACTGAATTATTTCAAATGGAGGACGAGCTCCTGTCGAGCATCGGTTATCGCGTGACCGTTCCAACGGCGTTCCAGTTTATGAATCGATTTCTCAAAGCCTCCAAGACCGCCAACACCAAGACGCAACTTCTGGCCAATTACTTGATCGACCGGTGTTTGCAAGAGTACAAGATGCTGCGGTACCCTCCTTCCATGATTGCGGCGGCTGGGGTGTACCATGCCCGCGTGCAAATGGACTTGCTTCCCCACTGGGTACGCCTCGCATCTGGCTTTCCTTCACAATGGTGCCATGTAGTCGCCCTGTGTTGAGTACCATTCGACGTATTCGGTTGCCGCGATGCGCATGTGCCTCAAGGACATGCAAGAAATGATGGAGACTGCGGCCGCCGGTGTCGCCAAATCGAGCAAACTCACAGCCGTGACGCGAAAATTCGCCAAAGAGAAGTTTCAAGGTGTGTCGAAAGTTCCCCTGCGATTCCCCCACAAGGTCAAGGACGAGTTTTACGGCCCATAGACCCGACCGCTCCGAGCCAGTTGGAAGGAGAGCCCTGTAATCTTGAAGTAGCATTGATGCAAATATACCCAGCACAGAATGACGCTTCGTGCCCTTCGTGCGTCTATCGTCATGCAATGCGTGGACGTGCTTGCGCGCACTTGTGAACAGTTCAAACAGATATGACAGTGCGCACCAAGGCAGAATAGACGTGAATGAAATAGCAGTGGCCTGTCTACAGGTCCGAAAAGAATGCCTCCCGTTTGGTCGGAAATGCCTGTCGGCCAGCTTGACCAGAGCTTCCTCCATCGTCGTCGCTATCGCTATCGTCCATCGAGTCGTCGTCCTTGGGATCGAATTCGAGGCCTTTTGTCTCTCCCCCGTCGTCTTCGTCGTCATCGCCATCGTCGTCGTAGAGGTACCCAACGTCCCAAAAGTGCACTTTGTTCGAGTGCGACACACTGCCCACGATACGCTTGTCATGTGAAAACTTGAGTACTTCCACCGGCATGTCCTCGTGGTCCCCAATCAGCCCGAGCAATTTGTTGGGGTGAATTTGAACAACGCTAGTCACATTGCCATCCTCGTTAGACCGTGTGGTCTAGCGCACGCGTACCGGATGATGCCGTCGCTCGACCCAGTCAAGATTGTGTCCTCATCGACCTTGAGGATCGTTTCAACAGAGTCGGGGTGGCCCGGGAATCGATCCGACATATCTCCCCACGTGTCCCAGCTGAAAATGACCAGCACACCGTCTTGGGACCCGCACACAACCTTGCGGCCGTTCTACGCCAAACACTCGTTGAGTCACACACCTCGCTACTGCCATCCGACGTGCGATACCTTGATGATTCTCACTGAGAGCAATTCGTCGTCGAGCTCGTCGCTCTTTTGGACAAATTTGTTTTTTTTCAAGTCGTACACGGACAGCCTGCCGTCTCCACTGGAGTTGGAGAGCGTGAGTCCGCTTGGCATAACGAGCAAATTGCCGATCGACGTACCCAGTGACCAGGAGCGTGCTCTTAGAGTCGTTCGTGGCCATGTCCGAGATGTAGTCCTACGTAGAGGTCCATTCGAGTTGGAGGGTAAGATTTGGGTTACGAGGCTGTACCGTGTGTTCATTCCACTGGACAATGCACCGATGCTGGCGAACATCCCACATCTACATGCGTGAAAGGAGCGTCGATGATGAATTGAGCTCGGTACCTTGACACAACCTTGGTCGTCGCCACTGGCAAACACGTTGTTCGAGATGGTATGCAAGTGGTTCACAGGGTTCCTACGATGCATCCGCGTTATGGAGCTCACCGTGACAAAAACAACGTACAAATGAGCGTTAAGCTCGGCCCACAACACACCACCGTGAACGTCGAAAGCGCGGATGGACTTGTCACTTGACGCGGTGAACAGCGCTATGAAGTTGTTTACAATCGGTGGACCACGAAAACATCATCGAGAGCACGCTCACCGTTTCCATCCTCTGCGAACTTGACGACACGGCAGGCATCTTGGTGGTGATTCAGCGACAGCACGCAATCGTTTCCTTCGGGGGTGTATGTGTATCTACGTGACATCGGGATGTACCTTGACATCAGCCGGGCATACGTACGCTTGGACTTTGCCATCGATCATGCCGGCAGCCACAACATTGCGCGTCGGGTGAAAGTCGAGATCGAACACGTCGCTCGGCAGCAGCACATCTGGGATGCCTTCTTCTCGAGTCACTTCCATGGCGGCGCTTCTTGCGTTGTCCTGATGGCGTTCAGTTGTCCGGTTGTCGGTTATCCGGACGACTCGTTTTGGTTGGTCAAGTCGTTGTCGGTTGATTGACTTGATGTTTGTATGGCTCAAACGCGCAATTTGCGCTTCAACTTCCACGAGACTCTGCCACGTCATTGTGCACGATGGAATTCTTAGTTTAGGCTACATTCATGCAAAACACACGAATCTCTTTGTGAACAGCTACACGGCATCGGCGGAAGGGGATCGACCTACGGCATGCCTCATATCATGGGTGTTGAGCTGGTGACGGACGTACGGGTCCCATTCGGCGTGGTGGTGACAGCTCCGCTCTGGCCACATATGGCCCTTCGAATGAGCTCCTTTTTCATCTGGAACGAAGACCGGAGTGACTCTGGAGTGCCTTCGACGTTGTCCATGATAAGATAGATCACGAAAAGCCCAATGTGCTCGAGCACCAACGCCACCAGAAAGCGCGACGACAGATCGAAGCACGACAGCTCGGGAGTCATGCTACGGTGGCCATAGGTGTCACCATTTTCAACTATGTCAAGGTGATACCTGTAATCGGAACCGTTGAATCGGTCAAGCACCAAGCAGTCGCCCACAAAGTACTCGACTTCCCCCGAGCTCAAGCAAATGAGCCCCACGACGGCGAAAACGGCAAGGAATAGGGTCGTGTAGAGGGTTTTTTCCCACTGGCCAATGCTGTTGGCTTTTCGAGGGACGGGGCGGCGTCTCGTCAAGCACAGCTTGTGAAAGCAATTTTGAATATGCACCACGTTGTTCACCTAGTCATGGTTTGAGCGTCGGCGAAGGCTTTCGTAGGGCACAACTCACCACCGCCGCCAACCCACAGAATGGCCATACGACGGAAAACATGACCACATAGCCCTACACGAGAGAGCGTGTGCACATGTCTGGGAGGTGAGGCGCATGGGGGCAGTCGACGTACAAACTGGATGACCATTTTCAAATAGTCCGGCTACAAGACGTGGCAGCGGTCAGGTACGACGTTAGCGCATTTTATCGACACGTACGAAGGTCTCGTACAGCTCCAGCTGCGATTCATCCACGACTGAGTCAGCCGTCATGAACTCTACAAGCCATCGCGATCCATCATCGCTCTCAACATCCCATGTCACTGAGTATACCTTCGTTGTAGAACCCTTCCGTCGTGGGAATCGTCACGCCCAGGGCTGCCTCGATGTACGGAATGCGAATGGGCGTGATCATTTGGAGCTACGACCACCAACGTTACCGCGAAGTCTATGCACGGACTGCGATCGCACCTCAATTTTTTCTTGAAAGTTCAACGAACTGGTCGCCGTGGTCGCGGCGGCGGCTGCGCGCATAGACAAGTCTGGCAGGGACGTTCGGCGCTGGAATTGGCTTTGGATCTCCGAAAGCGCAAGCATGGTTTCCGCGGGATGGGCGCGAAGTTTGCGGACTGTGCGGAAGCCATACAGTCGATGCTTGCGTAGCGCGTGGGGTAGCGCGGTGTCAATGAGAAGGTTCAGGGCCTGCGTGATGAGCAGGGGCGTGACCAGCGCTGTGCTCATGTCGATGCGACCACTGTGCCAGTTGACTGTGTAGATCGTGGCCCAGTGGAATTGCGTATTGATCCACTCCTCGACGTCTTTTCCAAACGGAACAATCACGAACGCTATGAGCATGAACCAGAGGAAGAACGAGATCCAATTGATGATGAAGAGGCGGTTGATCATCGTCCGGTCCACCTGCGCCTCCGTCGTGTGGTTTTCACGGATGACAAAGAACCGAAGGAGCTTCACGGACAACAGATACACAAACACGTCGAGCGTCGCGCCGAGGAAGATGCCCTAGGATTATACTAACGACGCGGCGAGTCGGATCAACGTCGTACCTGGACAAAGATGTAAAACCACCGCGACGTGCCGACCGTGGCCCCGAGCGTATCAAAGCACGAGAGAAACCCTGTGCAATCGGGGCACTCGCTGCACACGGGGGCGCACATGGCAGCCGTGTACCACTGGACAAAGAAACTGATCCCGACGACGTACGTCAGAGTAAAGAAGAGGAATACGACGAGCGTTTGGATGTAAGCGGGGATGCGGTAGAGCGAGTTGTAATACGGCTCGCGAAAGAGGACCACCCCCGAGTTGTCGCGGATGTCGAGGAACCCGTGGGGGCGGAAGCGCGGGTTTGGATAGTCTGCTTCTTTAAACAGGCGGACATTCCACACGTCGTTCAGGTACTCGTTCTTGCGCTGCCAGGCCTGGGCAGTCATCTCAGCCATGCACATGATACCGTCGAGGGAATAGAATACCTTGAGGAATGCGGTGCCCCACACAGTGACGATGGCATAGCCAAAAACGCTCAGCCCTGTCATGTAGTAGATGGCCGTATACCACCGAAACGACAAGTACAAGATCGTGCCAACCACGGCCGGAACGACAAGCCATTGCGTGTACAGCAACAGGAATGCAAAGTGAAATGCCACGTGCTCGCCGTAGTGGAAGCTGGACCATGCCCCCATGAGTTGCATTTGAGATGCCACAGGCGATCGTACCGAATGGCATCGGTGATGTCGTCGGCATTCCGCCACCACTGCTGCTTCTTGCGCAAGAGCATCTTGTTCACCTGGCAGCAAGTAGATGCGGCATGAAATTCCCGACAGACCGAGGAACCTACCTTCCGATTGTGCAGCGGAAAGCACGCAGCGATGATCGGGTCCCGTAGATTGGGGTCCTCGATGGAAATGCCGGCGCCGGGGGGGTTGAGCTGCGCCGTGTCTGCCGTGGACGAGATAATGCGTCCGATGGTTTGGATGCGTTCCGCGGGCGTGAACTTGCGGTCTTCTTCCTCTTCTTCGCCTTGCGGCTCGTCGTCTTCGGGCGCGACACAATTGCCTCCACCATTGTGCGGTGCCGCCCGTCGAGGCGACAGTGGGGACGACCCCAGATCGCTTTTGTAAATGAGTTGTTCGATTTCACTCGGGACTTCCCCAACCGCTCCAATCTGGAGCCACCGCTCGACCACGAGACGATTTTTCTCGATCTTCATCCTCTCAAATGTTGGCTTCAATAGCAAGCACATGTACTTGCGAGAGTGCAGCGTGCTCGTCATGACAGTCACCTCCAGCCCGGCGTCGATGCAGCGCCGAATCACGTCGCGTTGTTGGACGCCGGCCTCATCCAGGCCTTGACGCTCCAAATCCCGCGTCCGAGCTGGTTTATTATGCAGCAGGAGGGCAAATTCGTACGGCAGGGGCGCGCTGCAGTCGACGTCCGGTTCCTTTTCTTTCTCTGGATGATGTGGCCAGGACGGCCACGGAAATGATAGCCGTGAGTGTGCCGCCAAAGGAGTCGACTGCGTCGTCCCGGGACCACATGCAGGGCTGGCTTGGACACTGGACGATGCCAAGTGCGGGTTGGACGGGTCTGATGCCAAGTGCTTGACCAAGCTGCCAAGAGATTTCGTGTACGTGCGCATCCGTGGAAGTGGCAGGGCAGCGTGGTCGTGACTCTCAAAGCTCTTTGTTCGACGGGGAAGGTACACTTCTCCGTCGCCACCGTCATGCTCCGCGTCTTCGTGGATTGCCGCCGTGCCAATGATTTCGTTTGTCTCTGAAACTCCTACGCTGCGGGTGCGCCGGTGGCGCGCCACCCTCGACTTGGGCGGCGACGTCGACGCAGACCGCTGCTCCCCCGACTCCATCCAAGCAAAGGCGCCACGCCAGTCGAAACGTTGCAAGTATGAGCTATCGAAAAAACGGCATCGAATCCTTCCATTGCCAAATGTCTCGTGGGAAACGCCTCGTAACGACGCCGCAGGTCCCTGAGTCCGTCCTTCGAAGAGGCGGAACAGCCCTGTGTCAGCGAAGACCATGTTGACCAAAGCAAGCACTAGGGACCATCACGGCGGCGTCCACGAGTAGCTCTCTTGGGATCTTGAGCTGCGGGCGTGGTAGACGTGCTGGGCGGAACGGTTTCATGCCACGAGCGGTTACACCTCTTCGTCTCGCCGGGTGAACTTCCAAAAGTTGCTCCGTCGACGATGAGCGCGACAGCAGTTCCACCTGCGCAAACCGCTGAAGGCGGCGAGGAGTACTTGAATTCCATGAACTTTCGGTCGCTCATCGAGTGGCTGACGGCGGAAGCGCTTTTGAGCCGACCAGACGACCCGCTGGCGTTTGTGCGAACTGTGATCTCGGAAAAGTTGGCGCAGGTACGCGATATGCAATCTGGCTCGTTCGTCATGGCGAGATATGTGTAGAGGTCGTCTGGGGAGGCTTACAACCCCGACCATGCCGTGGCGTATATCAAGCAATGCTACGCCGAAGCCAGGTCCGTGTCGAATTCAAGGTCGAATCTGCACGCGATGCTTACATGATCGACATGCAGTGCCTCGGCAGATGAAAACGGACGGCTCTGCTTGCGTCCCAAGCGCGACACGTACAGTCCACACGATTCCATCAACCTTTGAACGTTCCCATCGCTCGCAGGACTGTGACGCCCTCGGGGGATCTGGCGTCGAATAAGCGCCTGGTCTTATTGGAGAAACTCATTCAAGCCTTTCGCGTCATTACGATGCAGCTCGACCCTATGGAAGGTAATGCTTGTGCAGTGCCACGCACCGCGACACCTCCACAACAACATTTCGTTTAGCGACCAACTCGATCATCAAGCACACGTGCAAAATCCTCAACGCGGAGCGCGCCACACTG